GCTGGGCGGCCCTGGGGGGCACCGCTGTTTCGCCAGGCTGTGCCGCGGTGCAAGGCTGGCCTTGGCAGGGCCTCTGGGCCCCAGACAGTGCAGGTCACGTAAGGCGGCGGGAAGGGCCAGAGGCAGGAAGGGCGCGGGAGGGGTGGGGAGCGGCCTCCTGGGGGACCCCCTCCTTCTCGGCGGAGGGGCTCGGTCGGCGGCAGAGGGGCTGGCAGCCCCCCCAGGCCATGTTTGGGTGCTGTGGATGGAGGGCGGGAGCTCTGCAGAGGCGGCCGAGCGGCTGCAGCGCGTGTGAAATATTTCAGGGCTTAATTAATTTAATTTGAGAGGTTCCTTTTTGGAGCCTGAACAGTTGTCTCCCAAGAGACGGAGCCTCCGCCCCTCCCGCCTGCCTGGCGCTGGTGGGCGGAAGCAGAAAGGGATCTATATCGAGCAGAGCGGGGCCGGCGCCCTCCCCCCACCCCAATCCCGCTCCGGAGTCCCCCGTCAGGTTCCTCCCCTGGCCCGGAGCCGCGTGGGTGTGAAGCAGGAGCTGCTGCGTGACGCTGGGTGTAGGGGCGTCCGCGGGGAGCCGGGCAGCGGGGATGTGGCCAAGAGGCTGTTGGGCAGAGCTTGGGGGGTGCAGAATCTGGGTATCGCTCCCCAAAAGGAGTGGGGGGAGGAAAAGAGGGGAGGGGAGGGAGGGGTGCAGGCGAAGGGAAGTGAGACCTGGGGCTGCCACTCTGATGTCGGGGGCGACTTCCAAGAGGCCCAGGGAGCCCTGTCCTGTCCAGAGGGCCCCCTCTGGGGGATGAGGAGGCTGGGCCAGTGGGGGTGCTTCTGAGCCCAGGAACCTCGCGTGGCTTCGGGGGCGCTTCCCGCCCCTGCCCGCGGGGAGCAGGCCCTGCAGTTGGGGTGAGTGCTGGCTGCCCTAGCCCCACGTCGCCCTCCCGCCCCCCCGCTGCCGGCGTCTGAGGGGCCAACAGGCCTGGTGGAGTGTCGGGAGCAAGCAGGAGGGCAGGGCCTGCGGCCATTCACCAATCTGTCTGGGTGAGGCTGGGCCAGCAATGGGGAGCACCTGCACCCCAACCTTGGGATCCCCCGGTGCTCAGCCCAAGGCCCAAGGCCCGGCGCGGGCCGGGGTGGCTCGTCGGTCCTAGCAGTGCTGGATGGGGTGAGGCGAGCCGCTCACACAGCACACCCACCCGCGCCTGGCCGGGATGGGGGAGCCCCGCGGCCCTGGGCCTGGTCTCCTGCAGGGCTGGAGGGGCGGGCAGAGGCTGCGGCCCTGCGGACTGTGTTGGGCACGGGGCCTCGGGGGTGGGAGGAGCCCTGCCGGGGCCTGGAGCCCGGGTTCGTCCTCCCTGTGGGCCCCAGAACGCGCGCGGGCCGCCCTGGGCGCGGCAGGAGGACCAGGCGCTGGCCTGGCCTGGCCGCAAGGCGCCCCGCCCCCCGCTGTGCGGCGCTGGCCTCTGTCCTTGGTCCTGAAGGGCCTGCGGCCAGCACCGCTGCCTGCCCGGCGGGTTCCCCCAGCACCTCTCGCTTCGCCCCACCTCTGCCCAGCCCTCGCGGGAGCCCCGACCCAGTGAATCAGTGAATGGGGGTCGGGGCTGTGTCAGCGCCCCTTGGAGAAGCCCCGCCCGCCCCGCCCCGCCCCGCCCCGCCGGTGGAGAAGGCGTGGGCCTCGGGCCCGCCCCGCCTGCGTTCCCCTCTGAGGAAGGGGCTGGGGCAGCTGGGCACAAGGCTGGAGTGGGCGATGCCCCCTCCTGCGGGGCGGTGCCCGGGGAGCAGCGGGAGGGCGGCCTTCTCTGGCCCGGCTCTGCGGAAGCCAGGCTGGCCGCCGGCCCTGTGGCCGCACTACCTCTGGCTGACCCGTCCAGCTGGGCCCAGCTCTCAGCGGAGCCCCAAAGCCTGTGGCGAGCACTGACCCCACCCTCTGCCTCCAGAGCACCCACCCCCTCCGGGCATCTCCCTCCCCACCCGCCCCGGCAGGGAGGACACGTCACCATGGGCTGCGGGGCGTGGGCTGGGGGGGACTGGGCAGGGCAGACCCAGGAGACCCGCGGAGCGGCGGCGGCCCCCCGCGCCCGCGGGCACTGCCCTCCGTGAGGCTGCTGGCCGCCCTCGGACGTGCCTGCCTCGGGGCCGGGCCCGGGCTGGCCTGCGGTGGGGGCAGCGCTGCCCCCCGTCCTGGTGCCGCTGGCTGCGCCGGCAGAGCCGCGTCTCCACCGCCCGCGGCGGGCAGCTCCGGGGGGCCCTGCGCGCGCCCCGGCCCCCCGCCCTCCAGGAGGTCCGGGCGGGCGGCGCTGCTCCCGCCCCCCAGCCCGGGCACACAGCGGCGGCGGCGGGGTTTGGCCCGGAGCCCCGTCCGCCCCCGCGGCGCGGCGGTGGAGGAAAGTGGGTCACCCCCGCCGCGCCCGCGGCCTGGGAGCCGCCGAGCTCGGAGCCCGCGCCGCGGCCGCTTCAGCACCGTGGACAGCGGCCGCGCTGGGCCCCGCCCCGCCTCCGACCTCGCCGGGCACGGCCCCTCTGCGCGCCCTGGTGGGGGGGGCAGCCCCTGGGGCAGACGGGCCGGCTGAGGGCAGGGATCGCTGGTGCCAGTGCCCCCCCCCGCAGCGCCGCTGGGCGCGTTTGGGGGTACGTGGGTGAGCACACATCGTCCCCACCGTGGGAAGGAAAGGGTGGCCAGGCAGAGGCCGCTGGACCGGCTTCCCTGGTCACCCGCCCAGGCCCGTCCCACCCCGAGCCTGGCCCTGCAGGACCCGCAGCACCTTCCACACGGGGGTCCGGGCAGGGCTGAGAGAGCGGCCTGCCCGGCCCAGCCCCGGAGCCCCGGTGCCCGCTGCTTGCCAGCTGCCCAGCCCGTCGGAGCCGCCGGGCCCAGGCACACAGGCAGGGCTGTCCCCCCACCTCCTTCCAGGCTGGGCCTGGCACCTCGGGGGCCCTGCTGAGCAGCCTGGGGGCAGGGCTGTCCTGTGCCCCCCCCCCGTCCCCCCGGCCTCGCTAGGCTGGACCCCTGGTGCGAGCGCCCACACCAGTGCCCACTCCTGCCCGTGAGTGATGGTGGGGCAGCCCTTCCTGCCGCCCCAGGGAGCCCGGCACTGTGCGGCAGCCCCCTCAGCCGCACCTGGCCTGCACCCCGAGCCCGAGACACCACACCCCATGCCCGCGCTGGAGACACCACGCGCTGCACTCTGAGCGCCTGCGTCTGCCGTAAACAGTAATTAGAGATGCAGTCACAATTGGAAAATAAGAGGAGCCGTCGGAGGGCTGGGTAATTAGGGCGCGTGCAGGCGTTCTGGGGAAGCCACCGCCCCACCTCCTGAGGCTGGGTGCTCAGGAGGCTGCGGCTCACCGGCCTGCCGGGGCACGGGCTCCCGAGGCCGGCCGAGAGCAGCCCCAAGGCGGGCCTCCCAGGAGGACAGGAGTCAGGGCAGAGGGGTGGCACGGGAGGAAGACGAAGGGAGGGCCTGCCAGTGCTCGGGTGTCGCCCAGGGTGCCCCCCGCATGTCCCCTGCTCCCCTGTGACTGAGCTCAGTGGGGGGGCCGGCCGCAGGCCCCAGCACAGCCTCTCCGTGGGGGGTGGGGGGTGCTCAGGCAGTCCCTGGGAGCCTGGCGTTGGCTGGGGCTGTAGCCACCGAGCTCCCCAAGTGTGAAACGGGGGTGACGTTTCCCTGCGGCCAGGCTGGGGTCCCTCCTTGCGGCCTCAGTGGCAGCGGCCTGTTCAGTCTGCGCCCCTGAAGCTGCCTGCGGGGCTTCGGCTCGCCCGGCGGGACCCTTGTTGCTCCCGTCTGGGAAGGGACCTCTGCGCGCTGCCGGGCCTGCTCTCCGCCTCCCGAGGGGCCCGGGAAGGGGGAGTGCGCAGGCGTGCGCGGTGTGCGCGCCTGGGTGTGTGCGCGTGGTGGGGGTTCTGGGCACAGGTGTGTGCGTGAGGGTGTGCACAGGTGTGTGAACGGGTGTGCCCAGGCATGAGGGCGTGCTGGGCGAGGGTGCATGCAGGCGCGGGGTGGCTGCTCTGGTTCGGGGACACGGTGCCTCCCGGAGTTTGCCCGGCCAGCAGGTGCGCAGAGCGGGCCCCACCCTGCGTCAGGAGAGGCCGGCTCTGCCCGGGGCTCGGGCTCCTGGTTCCCGGCCCCGGCCTGGTGTCCTCCCAGCCTCTCTTTGGGGACTTGCCGGACACAAGACTCACTCTGAGCTCAGGCTTGATCCCCCGATCTGGGCCCCTGAATCACTGATGCCACCTCCCTCGGGAGCCCCTGTTCTCCATCCTGGCTGGATCCCAGGACTCCCGGCGGGACGAGGGCCAGCGGGGGTGGGTGCGGCTGCGGGGGAGGGGCTGGCCGCACGTGCACGGAGGAGGCACAAGCGGGGTAAGGGGCGCGGCCACGGACCATTGCCCCCACCGTTGCCCCCACTGGAGCTGGGCCAGGGGACACGGCAGGGCCGGGTGCTGCAGGCCCGACTTCTGAATCCGGGTGCATCTTGGCGAGCAAGAAGCAGGGGGGCGTGCCCGTGCTCCTGGGAGGGGTGTGGAGCTGGCTGTGACCCCCAGCTGAGCTGGCTGTGACCCGCAGCCCCTCCCCACAGGGCCGCCCCGGAGAGCCTGGGGTGGCGGGAAGGGTCGGCATCCTGGGCCCCAGCAGAGGTGCGGGCAGCCGGCGGGAGAGGCCCCTGTGGCCCTGGCGGGTGGTCCCCGCGGGTGGCGCCGTCCTGTCTGGGGGCCCGGGTCGGGGCTGGGCAGGCTGGGCGCTGCCCAGGGAGCAGGCACAGGGCTGGGTGTGTCTGACCAGGGCTCTGGTGGGAAGTTGGGTGACCTCTGGGGCTCCCAGGGTGGGGGAGGCTGGCGTGCTGGGGGTGGGGCGCTTCCTCGGGCCCCAGGGAGCCCGGCCGAGGGGGGGGCCAGAGGGACTCTGGGTGTCGAGGGCCAGGCGACGTGTGGTCAGGGCCCGGGCCGGAGGGGCGGGCGGTTTCTGGGCAGGGAGGGCGACGGGGCCCTGGCCTCTGACGGGGCCCCCCCGCAGGCCTCGTGAAGCTGGGCATCCACTGCGTCACCTGCCAGAAGGTGGCCATCAAGATCGTCAACCGCGAGAAGCTCAGCGAGTCTGTGCTGATGAAGGTGAGGGCCGTGTCCAGCGCTGCCCGCCCCCTCAGGCCACGGGCTGGTGACCCCCCCCAGCCGGCCCGCGGGGGTGGGTCTGGTGCCCCCTGGGGGGTCCTTCTGCCTGCTGTCACCCGTGGGTGGGCCGCGACCCTGAGCCCCCCGCGGGTGAACCCTCTCGTCCTTGCCTGCCTCTGGGAGGGGGGAGCCGGCCCAGGCCTGCGGGGAGGTGGGGGGGGCTGGGGCTGCCCCGCACAGGGAGGCCCCTCACCGCGCCCCCTGCAGGTGGAGCGGGAGATCGCCATCCTGAAGCTGATCGAGCACCCGCACGTCCTGAAGCTGCACGACGTTTATGAAAACAAAAAATACTTGTAGGTGGCGCGGGCGCAGAGTGGGGGCCTCGGCTGGGGGCAGGCAGGGCGCCGGGAGTGGTGGGGGAAGGGCGGGCGCCCAGCCCGGCCGCCAAGGTCGCGGGGCCACCTAGGGGTGCTCCGGGGCTCTCAGACCTCTGCCCCCAACCCCCGCTTGCTTCCTCAAGGGTGGGTCAAGGCCGCTGCTGCCCTGTCCCCTGCGCGCTCAGCCGGCGCATCTCATGCTTGGGGACCCCCGCGTGCCCAGCGGGTGACTTCACCCTGTACCCAACGTGGCGGGTGGGTCTCCGCGGAGGGACCGGCGGGGTGGGAGCCCAGCGGCCCGGTCCCAGCAGTCTGGCCTCTGCCGCCCTGCCTGGGCTGTGGGGCAGCGCCTGCAGGTCACTGGGGCCAGCCAGCTCCCGGCTGCCCGCGGTTCCTGCTCCGTCGGGGCGCCGGGTGTGGCCGTCGGCAGAGGCTGAGGCTGAGGCCTTCCGAGCCGGGAGGGTCATGCTGCAGCCCGCACAGCCCACCTGCCCCTGCGCCTCTGCCACACCGGCAGCTCGACGGGCACGGCGTGGCCCATCCATGCGGGAGGCGGGTGGCCCGGCCAGGTCCTGCTGCACCCAGTGTCCCCCTGGGGCCCCAGGGAGCTGGAAGGCACAGGAACAAGCAGGGAGTCCTGCCTGGCACCGCAGTTTCCAGCCCCCCCCATGAGGAGTCAGGCTCCAAGTGCCAGGGGCTGTCCCACCCTCCCCGGCCCGTGCTGTGGGAGACCGGAGGCCAGCACTGCCGCCCCGGGCGCCCCAGGGACAGCACCCTGCCTCCCACACCCTCCCCAGGCTACCACCCCCATGGCCCCAGGGTGCCCCTGGCCCCTGAGGTCAGGCAGGCATCGGGCGGGGACCCCAGGGCACCCCCACGGTGGCTCCTAGAACCCAGCCCTTCGGGGTCCGTGCGCTGGCAGAGGCTCACAGCCCCCTCTCACTGGCTGCCTTCCAAGGGACCCCGGCCCCTGCCCTGAGCCTGGGGCCTTCCTGCGCTGCCCTCTCTGTCCGGCCCTTCTGTCCCGCCCCATGTTCCCGGCCGCGGGCTGGCACCCTGTCCGGCACCCTGTCCCAGTCACCCTGGGGACCCCCTCCCGGTGCCAGGCTCCTCAGGGCCCTGCAGCCACAGCCTCTGTCTCCAAGACCCCCCTGAGGGCACGGGGTGCCCCGCCCTGCGGGGATCGGCCCTGGCTTGGCCCCCGGGAGCCTCGCGGGCAGGCCAGGGCCGGCCGGCAGGTGGGCAGGCTGCCGGTGCCCCCTGACGCCGCCGCGCCCCCAGATACCTGGTGCTAGAACACGTGTCCGGCGGGGAGCTCTTCGACTACCTGGTGAAGAAGGGCAGGCTCACCCCCAAGGAGGCCCGCAAGTTCTTCCGGCAGATCATCTCCGCCCTGGACTTCTGCCACAGCCACTCCATCTGGTGGGTGCCCGCCCCGGCGCCCCAGGGAGAGCCCGCCCCGCCCCCACGACCCCCGCGCCCCACACAGCCCCCGGGACTGGGACGGCCCCCCGCCCGGGCCCAGCAGCCTCGCGCGGCGGGGGCGGGGGGGCGGGGGGGCGGGGGGGGGGGTCGCGCCGGGGCGGGCGGGGCCCCTGGACCAGCCGCGCGGCCTCGCTGCCCAGCCACAGGGACCTGAAGCCCGAGAACCTGCTGCTGGACGAGAAGAACAACATCCGCGTGGCCGACTTCGGGATGGCGTCGCTGCAGGTGGGGGACAGCCTGCTGGAGACCAGCTGCGGGTGAGCGCCGCGCCGCCGGCTGGCCGTGTCCGTCTGTCCCGGGGGCCTCCGCGGGGGGCGCGGGGCGCGCGGGGCGCGGGAGCCTCAGCCGTCCCCGCTGACCTGGCGGGAGCCCGCGGCCGGGTGGGGAGCGCGGCGCCCGGCCCGGCCCTGACGCCTGTTTTCTGCCCCAGGTCCCCCCACTACGCCTGCCCCGAGGTCATCCGGGTAAGTCGCCCCCCGCGGGCCGGCCCGGCGCGCCCGGGGTCACCCCTGCCTGTGCACCCCGAGGCCCGCCGCCCCGGGGCCACCCCTGCCTGTGCACCCCGAGGCCCGCCGCCCCGGGGCCACCCCTGCCTGTGCACCCCGAGGCCCGCCGCCCCGGGGCCACCCCTGCCTGTGCACCCCGAGGCCCGCCGCCCCGGGGTCACCCCTGCCTGTGCACCCCGAGGCCCGCCGCCCCGGGGCCACCCCTGCCTGTGCACCCCGAGGCGCGCCGCCACCCGGGCCTGTGCTGTCCGCAGGGGGAGAAGTACGACGGGCGCAAGGCGGACGTGTGGAGCTGCGGGGTCATCCTGTTCGCGCTGCTCGTGGTGAGGCCCCCCGCGGCCCCCGCGCCCCGCCCCCGCCCCCCGCGCCCCCGCCCCCCGCGCTGACCCTCCCGGCCGGCAGGGGGCGCTGCCCTTCGACGACGACAACCTGCGGCAGCTGCTGGAGAAGGTCAAGCGCGGCGTGTTCCACATGCCCCACTTCATCCCGCCCGACTGCCAGGGCCTGCTGCGCGGCATGATCGAGGTGGACGCCGCGCGGCGCCTCACGGTGCGTCCCCGCCGGCCCCCGGGGGCTCGGCCCGGCTGCACGCGGGGCCCGCGGGGTGCGCCTGCTGGGCGGGGGGCGGGGGGCGGGGGGGGGGCTCGGGCGGGCGCCGGGGCCTGCTGGGGCGCGAGGAGGCCCCGGCCGGGGCGCTGGCCCCCTTCGGGCCGGCGACCCCAGGACAGCGGGCGGCAGGACCCTGGGGCGATGCCGCTCCTGGCGCCCCCCAAGTAGTTGGCCCTGAGGTGCATGGGGGAGCAGGGTGGGTCCCACGCTGCCGGCTCACCCCCGCACCCCCGCGCCCAGGCCTCCCTCTTGGACCCCCAGCGCAGGCCCCTGGCCGGGCGCAGCCCCTCCGCCTTCTCTCGCAGCCGTGTCCTCTCCACGGCCCTGAGGCCGCCCGGAGCCTCGGGGGACACGGCCCCCCACTCCCGCGCCCCCCTCTCCTGACCCCTCTTAACAGCCCCCTCCTGCTTCCCCTTCCTCCTCCTGCCCCTGCACGCCCCTCGCGCCCCCTGACGCCCCCTGACGCCCTGTCTCTCTCCCGCAGCTCGAGCACATTCAGAAGCACACGTGGTACATGTAAGTAGCCGCTCCTCCGCCACCGCCTGCTTTGCCGTCCCGTGGCCCGGGCCAGGGGGAGCTGCGCCCACCCCACGTGCGCTCAGGTCGGCGGGGCGCGGGCAGGAGCAGGCGTGCGGAGCGGGCGCAGGAGAGCCACCGGCCCGGGGGCCCAGGAGGGGGTGGCTCCTGCCCTGGCGTGCAGACGGGGGTGACCCGGCGCCCGGTTGTCCGCAGAGGAGGCAAGAACGAGCCGGAGCCGGAGCAGCCGGTCCCCCGCAAGGTGCAGATGCGCTCGCTGCCCAGCCTGGAGGACATCGACCCCGACGTGCTGGACAGCATGCACTCGCTGGGCTGCTTCCGGGACCGCAACAAGCTGCTGCAGGACCTGCTGTCGGAGGAGTGCGTGGGGCCGGGCCCGCGGGAGGAGTGGGTCCCGGGGACAGGGCTGTAGGCCCCCGGACCGCCGCCCCAGCTGCCAACCCCAACCGTCCTGGGCCTTCCCATCGCCCTGCTGCAGGGAAAACCAGGAGAAGATGATCTACTTCCTCCTCCTGGACCGGAAAGAAAGGTACCCCAGTCACGAGGACGAGGACCTGCCCCCCAGGAATGAGATAGGTACTGGTCCCGCAGCCTGCCCTCCCTGCGCCCTCCACCCTGCAAGGCCTGACCCCAGTCTGTGCGCAGACCCGCCCCGGAAGCGTGTGGACTCCCCGATGCTGAACCGGCACGGCAAGCGGCGCCCCGAGCGCAAGTCCATGGAGGTGCTCAGCGTGACGGACGGCGGCTCCCCCGTGCCTGCGCGGCGCGCCATCGAGATGGCCCAGCACGGCCAGAGGTGCGTGCGTGCGCGAGCCGGCCGCCCTGCTGCCCTGGCCATCAGCGGCAGCACCCAGCCCTGGCTCCAGCTGGCCTGCCTCCCCCGGCCCTGGGCTGGCCACACTGCTGGTCTGCACGGGCGGGACTGGACTCCGCCCTGTTGGCCGGAGTCAAGCCGCGTTGGGTCCGGCCATCCTGGACGGGACGGGACTAGACAGGCCTGGGCTGCACTGGACTTAGCTGGGCTGGGCTGCACTGGGCGCTGGGCTGGGTTGAGAGTGGTCAGGCCGTGTGCAGTGCCTGCAGCCCAGCGGGGCTACCCCACTTGGCCTCTACGTCGGGGTCCCTGTGACTGTGGGGGTGGGGTGTGGAGGCGAGGAGCAGGTCTGGGGTTTCCCAGCAACCCCCAGAGGAAGGCGAGGCATCCGGGTCCTGCAGGCTCAGGCGGAGGCTGGGTGAGGCCCCGCGCAGACCCTCAGCCCGAAGGGGCAGCCGGCGAGGCCCACTGTCCTGACGGGTGAAGCCTTCAGCCACCAGCCCTGCCCCCACACCTGCTGCAGGCTCCGGGGCTGGCCCGGCCTCTTGAGTCGCCAGGAGCCAGAGGGCGGGGCTGTGGTCACCGTCAGGCCCGCTGGGCTGGAGTTGCCGCCCGACCTCCCAGGCCCTCCCCAGGGGACAGGGCTGGCTCCGCTGCCGCGGGGCTGAGACGGGAACAGGTGCCCATACTCCGCCCTTTGGGCCTCTGTCCTGCCAGGGGAGGGGCCGCTCTCCTAGTGGCCCCGGCGTGTGGCCGGCCGCCCTCCCAGGCCGTGCCGACGCGGCCCTCCCCACGCAGGGGCAGCCGGGCCTCGGTGGGGCTGGGCAGGGGCCGCTGGCCGCCCTGTGTCTCGGGCCCCCCGCGCCGCCGCTGCTTCCCCTCCGGGCCACCTGGCCGGCCGTCCGAGCAGCCCCCACATCTTGGCGTCTCCGGCCCAAACTTGCCCGCCCGGCGCGGGCCGCGCACCGCTGAGCTGTGGGGTCCGGCCTCCCGGCCGCGGCGCGGCCGCGTCAGTAACTGTGTTTTCTCACTTTGTTCCCGCTGTAGTAAAGCAATGTTCAGTAAAAGCCTGGATATCGCTGAAGCCCACCCCCAATTCAGCAAAGACGACAGGTACACACTCAGCCCGCCCACCCGCCCCGGCCGGGACCGGCGGGTCTGGGGCGGCTCGAGCCGGTGCTCCCGCCCTCCCCCTGCGGCGAGGCAGCCCTTCCCGAGAGTGGGGGGCCTGGGGCAGCGGTGAGGCCGGAGGCGTGGGCTGCGGGCCAGCGAGCGCCCCCCCAGAGGGAGTGGAGACCCACAGGCTCTCCTGGCCCCAGGCCCCGTGGCTGCCAGCCGCCGCGGCCCAGGCGGACCTCCCTCCCCAGCCCGGGGCGGGCCAGAGTGGAAGCAGCGGCCCCAGCGGCTCGGCCGGGCCCAGCAGCCGGCTCGCGGGGGCTCGACGGTCCCAGGGGTGCGTGTGGGGCTGGCCTTCTGGGCAGTGCCGGCCCCCCCTGCTGCCCAACTGCCACCCCCGCCCCCAGCAGTCGTAGCTTAGCGCCCCGTGCGGCGAGGCGGGCGTGGGGAAGCGCCTCTCTGCTCCTCCTGCCGTCCGGCGCCAAGTGGCTGGCTGGGCTGGCTCGACGTGAGGCCTGGTGGCGGGGGCTCGTGGCGCCGGCCTGACGGTGACCACGGCCCTGCCCTCTGGCTCCTGGCGACCGGTGGATGCCTGTGCCCTTCTCGGCCTCCGAACGCCGCGGGCGGCTGTCGTGCGCGGGCAGGCGGGCATCTGGGTCGCGGGGGACCGGGGCCGCGGTGCTGGCCGCGAGGGCCTCTGTCCGCCCCTCCGGGGCTGTCGTGTCCTTCCCTCTGGAAAGTGGTGCCGGGGCCCCGGCCGCGGGCTCTGGAGCAGGTGGCGCCCTGCCGGCGTCTCAGCGGGCACCTTCCGGCTGGCCCACACCGCAGACGTCCCTGACCGTGCCCGCCCAGCCTCGCTCTGCCCAGGCCCCGAGGGCCAGCGGAGAGGGCGGGGCCGCCCCACACGCGCGGGTTGGCGCCGGGCTGGCTGGGCAGGCGCGACGCGGGCTGGAGCGGGGGCGGCTGGTGACTGCTCGCCGGATGCGAGGTGCCCGGTCAGCACGGGACTCGGGAGCCTGTGAGAGCCCCGACCTGGGGGCCAGGTGGGCTCAGGGCGGCCAGCACCCGGGAGCCCCCGTCCCCCTGGTGCCCCCATCCACCGAAGACCTGACAGGCCATCCTGGGCCTCGGGCCCGGGGCAGCCGCGTGCAGAGGGAAGGCGAGGGACCTGAGGCCGCTGGCCACGCGCTGCGTTCAGATGTGGCTCCCGGCGGGCAGCGGGGCCCTCTGGGGCCTGTGAGAGGCCGGCGGGGACGGCAGGCCGGCCCCACACGGGCAGCCCCGCCCCAGGCCCGGGGCAGCCTGGAGGCTCTTGGCCAGGGCTGCAGGCCTCCCGGGGCGTCCCCCTGGGGGAGAGGAGCCGAGCCCGAGGCTGCTCCCCACGCTGAGCGGCCCTTCTGCCTGTGTCCCCAGGTCTAGGTCCATCAGTGGCGCCTCCTCCGGCCTCTCCACCAGCCCGCTCAGCAGCCCCCGGGTGAGTGACCGCACCTGCCCTCCCAGGCACCCGCGCGGCCCCTGCCCCGGGCTGCCCTGGCCAAGCAGCTGTTCCGTTCTGTGCCGTTTGCTCCCCCCGAGGCGCCCCTGCCTGCCTCCCCGCCCCCCTCACCGGCCCACGGCCCGCCCCCGACCCTGCCGACGCCCAGCCCCCCACCCCCACCCCCACCCCCACCCCGCCGGCCCTGCCCAGGGCCCCGCTTGGCCCCGGCGCCCCGGACCAGCCCAAGCACCCACTCTGCCCCTGTCATACAGGTGACCCCGCACCCCTCTCCGAGGGGCAGTCCCCTCCCCACCCCCAAGGGGACGCCGGTGCACACGCCGAAGGAGAGCCCGGCGGGCACACCCACCCCCACGCCGCCGTCCAGCCCCAGCGTGGGTGGGGTGCCCTGGCGCACGCGGCTCAGCTCCATCAAGAACAGCTTCCTGGGGTCGCCCCGCTTCCACCGCCGGAAACTGCAAGGTGAGGAGGTGCAGGGGGCACGGCCCCGGGCAGCCGCACTCCTGCGGGGGCGGGGGTGGGGGCGGCCAGCCCGCTCGCGGTGCCCAGGCCGCGCGGGGGCGGGAGGCGGGAGGCGGGAGGCAGGGCCTCAGCGCCAGGAGGCGGGACAGCTCCCAGGCCGCCCGAGCCCGGGTGCCCAGACAGTGCAGGGCGCGGCTGCAGGAGCCCCAGCAGGGTGGGCGGGCGGGCAGGGCCGCGGTCTCCACCTTCTCCCTCTCTCCTGCGCAGTTCCCACCCCGGAGGAGATGTCCAACCTGACCCCGGAGTCGTCTCCAGAGTGAGTGGCCCCGCCTGGGCGGCTCTGGGCAGGCTCCGGGCCCTCCCCCGCGTGCGGGGCCGGCACTTCCCCGAGCCCTCCGGTCGGCCCTCCGCCTGCCCCCCCTCCAGCTCCGGTCTGCACCTGCCCCACAGGGTCGGCGGTTGGGGCACAGGCCTGGGGGGCGCTTCCAAGGGGATTCGGCTCCTTCCTGCTGGGCCACGATGCCGCTGCCGGGCTGGGGCAGCTGCTGGGGCGATTCTCTGCCCCCTGGGAGCCCAGGCCCATGGCAGGGCAGCCATGGCCAGGCCCTGGGGCCCAACCTGCTCTCGCTCCTGGGGACACCACCTCCGCCCTGTGTGTGCGGGCGTGGTGGGGCTGCGGCAGGTGGCAGCCAGGGAGGGGCGCTGGCTGAGCTGCCCCCGCGTGCAGCCAGGCGGAGTCCACAGCCTTGGGGGCCTCAGAGAGCAACAGGCTGGGGGCGGGTGGGGGCCGCGGGGAACAGTATGGGGGCGGCCGGTCCTTGCCGAGGCCCACGAGTGCAAGCAGGGGGGCTCGTGGGCGGCGCCAGGCGGAGCAGAGCAGCACCCCCGGGTGGAACAAGACCCCTCAGGCTGCTCCGTGGCTGTCCTCGCAGGGCCTGGCCGAGGCGGGGGCGGTGTCAGCCGGGCCGCAGGTCCCCGCACGGCCTTCATGCTCGTTGCCCGCCTGTTGGGAGCGCCCGGGACTGCCTGCGGCTATTTGTCTGAGAAGTGGGAGCTGCCCAGTGGCAGCCGCCCCGGGTGACCTGCGTGGTCGAGGCCCTGGGCTGGTTCCCGCCAGGGCAGGGCTGGCCCGGGAGGCCCCGAGCGGGCCCCTGGAGCTGCAGCGGGCTGGACACGGCCCGCCCACCGCACCTGGCCCTCCAGAGCCCTGATCCCTTCAGGTGACCCCGTCTGCGGGGGCAGAGTCCACGGAGCCGGGGCCGCTGGTCCTCGCGCTCTGTCGAGGGAGGAGAAGCGAACCCTGTGTGGGCAACAGGTCGGTCGTCCCGTGCTGGGCACTCTGGCCAGCAGTGGGAGGGACTAAGGTGGTGGCTGCCGTGGCTTCAGATGGCCACGGCAGCAGAAGACGGAAGAGCCCACGGTGGAAGTGGGAGGGACAGGGCTGGCCGCCCACGCAGCCGAAAAGCGCCGGCCCCACCACAGAGTCAGCCTGTGGGAGCTGCTGGGTGGCAGCCAGGTGTCCGGGCCGCAGTGTCCTCACCTGGACTGGACTGGCCCCGGCCTGGATGCTGGACATGGCCGCTGCGGCCAGCTCCCGGCACACATGCTGCCTGCTGTGGACATGCTGTCTGAAGCTCAGTGTGGGCACGCCAGGCGCTGCCCTGGGGTGGCCACCACACTCCAAGCTGTTGCCCCCGGGGCAGAGGCAGGAGCCTGTCACAGGCACCCCAGGCCGTGGGCCCAGGAGCCTCGGGGCAGAGCCACGGAGAGGTCGGTCTGTCGCAGTGCGGGGCGCAGAGGCGGGCCCAGGGGAAGGGACAGGAGGACAGGACATGGGGTGGGGTGAGGCGAGGCCAGTGGAGGGTGCAGTCAGCCTGGCCCTGCGGGTGCACCCGCCCTGAGAGGCCAGCAGCTGAGCCCCAGGGCCTGCGGAGCCTCCGTCTTGGCGGGGGTCGGCTGGGGCCACAGGTCTTGGGTGGCTGTGGTGCTGAGCCCAGGGCAGTCCTCTCCCGTCCACGCCTCCCCCACCCCCGCCGCCTCCTCCGAGTGCTGCACCGAAACACCCCAAACTCGAAGTGAGGCTGGGCCGGCGTCAGCACCACGCGCCCGGGGCCTGGCGGGCGGCAGGCCCACCTTTGGGCAGCTCCGCACAGGCCTTCACGCCTGACCGGCCCCGCCCGCCCCTCCCAGGCTGGCCAAGAAGTCCTGGTTCGGGAACTTCATCAGCCTGGAGAAGGAGGAGCAGATCTTTGTGGTCATCAAGGACAAACCGCTGAGCTCCATCAAGGCTGACATCGTGCACGCCTTCCTGTCGGTGAGCAGCCGGGGCCGCCGTGTGGGAGCGGCCTTGGCCAGGTCTGGTGGCCTGAGACCGGGGCCGCCCCAGGGGCCCGTCTGGGTGTCCCGGGAGCCCCAGAGCTGCTGGCCCCCCGGTTGCTCGGGGCCTCGGGGAGCTCCGTTTTCCTCCCTGAGCTCTGGGCGACGGCGCGCGCGGCCCTGAGCGTCCTCCAGAGGGAGAAGCTGTGTCCCTGCTGCCCAAGCTCGGACCTCACCGGCAGGGCGTGGGGTCCCCGTGGGGGTCGGCGCCCCCACCATCCAGGCTACAGCCACGGCTCACACGGGGCCCCTCAGCCAGGCCCAGCAAAGCCCATCGTGGGGTGGAGGGAATGACCTCCACAGAGCCACCTGGCCACTGTGGCTTGCGCCCCCGCGGGCCCACCTGGCCCCAGGCCCCTCCTCCTGCTCTGGGGACCCCAGGCCCCTCCGCGTGTGCGTGGATGCAGCCAGCACTCATGCCCCTCAGTGGCAGGCGTGTCCTGGGGCTGCCCGCTGACCCACCTGGCCCTGGTGGCTCTGAACAGCAGCCCTGGTGGCTGCAGCACCCGGAGTCGCAGAGGCTCCTCTGCAGGCCCCAGTGGGGCAGCAGGGTGCTGGCCGCATGGCCTTGGCCACAGCAGCGCTCTGGGCATCAGCAGAGGCTGCCCTCCGTCCCGCTGCCACCGCTCTGCGGTGCCCTGGCTCCCCACGCCCTCCACGTCTGCCCTCACGCGGCGGCCACTCCTCTGCAGGGCCGCGCGCTCACAGCCCCGGGGGCTGGCCGCCCCCCTCCGTTCAGCCACCCGGCTCAGGACCCCCCTCAGGTCCCCCCGACTCCGCCCCCCCAGGCTCAGGCTCCCTCTAGGGTCCACGCCCCACGGAGCCCAGGCCCCACCCCCGGCTCAGGCCCCTCCCCCCGCAGATCCCCAGCCTGGGCCACAGCGTCATCTCACAGACGAGCTTCAGGGCCGAGTACAAGGCCACGGGGGGCCCAGCGGTGTTCCAGAAGCCAGTCAAGTTCCAGGTGGACATCACCTACACGGAGGGCGGGGAGGCGCAGAAGGAGAACGGCATCTACTCGGTCACCTTCACGCTGCTGTCAGGTGAGGCGCCGGGCAGGGCGGGGGCCGGGAGCCGCAGGGCTCCGCCTGATCTCTGGTCTCCCCCAGGCCCCAGCCGGCGCTTCAAGAGGGTGGTGGAGACCATCCAGACCCAGCTGCTGAGCACGCACGGCCAGCCCTCCGCCCAGCACTTGGCAGGTGAGGCGGGCTCGGCGCGACGCCCTCCCTGCCCTGAGCTGTGCGCCTGGCCCCGGGAGCAGGTCCCCGTCTCCGCACACCCAGGGAGGTAGGGCCCAGCACCCCGCACTGAAAGGCGCCTCTTGTCCACTGTAGAACACCCCCCGCCAGCGCCAGGACTAAGCTGGGGCGCTGGGCTTCAGGGCCAGAAGGTGGCCACCAGCTACGAGAGTAGCCTCTGATGCTGGCAGGTAAGGTGTCCGGCCCGCCGCTGGGCGGGAGGCGGCTGCGGGCAGGTCCTCCGGTGTGAGCAGCCCGGCCTGAGGAGGGCACCCAGTGCCCGCTCACACGCAGCGGCGTCCCCGGCCCTGGACGGGCCTCGTGGGCCCCGTACCCAGGCCGAGCAGCTGGACACGGGGTGGCCTGGCCCCGGCCCAGCAAGAGCAGGCTCTGGGACAGCAGGGCCGAGGTCCTGCTGGGAGGCTGCCGCCCGCCACTGTGCCCCATAGCACCCAGAGGGCGCGAGCCTAAGGCCTGCTGGGCTGCCCACCACCCGCCCAGCAGTGATGGCCTAGGAACGGCTGGCCTGAGGTCTGCCAAAGCGGGGACCCCCGTCTGGGCTAAGGCGGGCACTCAGGAGAAGGGACCTGTGGCCGGGGCTGCGGCAGGGCATGAACACGCCTGTCAGCTGTGAGGCGGGTGGCCCTGAGGCCTGAGCCGGCGTCCACCCAGCCCACCTCTCAGACCGGGGCCTCCATGGGCCCTTCCCCAGCCTGCTGGGGTCACTTTCTGTGCTTCTGTGTGGGGGCCTGCAGGCCAGACCTGCCCACTCGTCCCGTCCCTGCCATCCTCATTCCATCGTCTGTCTCCCCCGCCCCCACATGCCTGGTCACCCCCGATGCTGGCCCAGCCCCACCGCAGGCCACTCCCAGGCTGGCAGGGGCAGCAGGGCCGAGTCCTGAAGGCTCCTCCTCTCGGGGCAGTGCGGTCAGGGAAGCGGGCTTGGGAGGGACCTGCCTTGGGGTGGCGGAGGAAGAGGCCAGGGCTTAGGTGCGGAGAGGACCACTCAGCCCCTGAACCGCCCCCCGCCGTGGGCTGTGCCCTTGACTGCCGTGCCACTCGGAGGCGTCACTGCAGCCGCCTGCCCCTGCCCCGTGACCCCTTGCTGGGTCAGGACACAGCAGCGTGCTAGGCGCACGCCCTCCCCAGGGACCTGCTGGCCCCTGTCCCTGGAGACCAGGTGCTCTTTGCAAGCCCCAAGCCCCCTGCCCCGCCCTGCCCCAGTGCCTCCTGCGGGCCCTGTGCGCCAGCCTTTCCCAACATACTCCCTTCCCGCTGGACACACCTGTCCAGAGCACAGTCCCAGGGTCACTTAGGGGACCCCACCCACCACCCCAGTAGGGCCCCCGCCCGCCCCAGGGCGGGGTGGCCGAAGGGCACATCCCCCCTTGTACAGGCAGTGAGGACCTCGAGGGACCCCAGGCCCAGGGCCACACTCGGTGCCCAGGCACAGCAGAGGGTGGGAGAGGGCCAGGGAGGGGTGTGGACACCACCAAGGAGCAAGCGGGCTGCACTGCGCCTGGGCATAGCACAGCAGCGGGCCAGGGAGCCCAGCACAGCCCACGGGCGCAGCCCTGGACTCAGCTCCAGATGCCCCCGACCCCTGGCAGGGCGGGGGGACGGGCAGGCCCAGGCACCCAGGGCAGGGCCCTGCCCACACCTCAGCGTCTGGCTGCTCTGAGGGCCGCCACTGCCCAGGACATGCCCCCCTCCATGTCTGCACCGAGCCCCGCCCGCCGAGGCCCCACCCTCCGCCAAACCCCGCCCACCCCGGCCCCCCCAGCCCGCACCCCAGGCTCCGCGCCCAGCACGAGCCCCGCCCGCCGAGGCCCCGCCCTCGGCCAGGCCCCGCCCACCGAGGCCCCACCCTCAGCCGAGCCCCGCCCACTCGAGCCCCGCCCCGCCCCCAGGCGCTGCCCCACCAAGCCCCGCCCGCCGCCCGCCCACAGGCCCCGCCCACCCGGCCCCGCCCCCGGCACCCTGGCCCCTCCCTGCGGGCAGCGCCGACTCCGCGGGCCCAGAGCATCTTTTCACGCGTCTCCCCCTCCTCTCTCCGTTCTGTGCTCCAGACACCACTAACTGTATGGAAATGATGACGGGGAGGCTTTCCAAATGTGGTAAGAACCCCTCACGCTCCCGGGGCCCCCCAGCCTGTCCACCGCGCGCCCCGCGGCCACGCCTGGCAGCTGCCTCGCTGCTCCGGGGCTGTCCTGGGGTCCCTGGGCACGCCGGGGTCCAGATACGCCCGCGCACCCGCCACGCTCCGCTGTGCGCCCCCCAGGGCAGCTGCAGGTCCGGCTCTTGCATGGGGCAGGCCAGGGAATGACCCCCAGGCTAGAGCAGGGGAGGGTCCCCGTGCGCCCTGGCAGGGGCCCCGTCCCTGGGCAGGGGCCGGCTTCAGGCCCTCTGTCCACGGGCGGGGGAGGGGCCCCTCCCCTCGAGGCCGAGGGCCGCCTACTGCTGCCCCAGCAGCGAGGGCCACACGCACTCTGGGCTCGGTTAGGGAGTGGAGCTGAGGCCCCCCCGGGCACCTAGGCAGGGGACGCAGGCCCCGGTGGGGTGCCCATCCCTTTCTGCCCTCCCTCCTGCCCTCAGGACGTCCACTCTGGGCCTGGGGCCTCCTCTCTGGCCGCCTGCCCCCCGCCCTCCCACACCCCACCCTCCATGCCTGTCCACCCATCTGTCCATCTGTCTGTCTGCTGCTGCCCTCTGTCCACGCGGAGCCCCCACTTCCCGGGAGAAGCGCGGCAGGCAGCTGCTGCGCCCCGGCCGGGGCAGCCCCGGGGCCTTGGCCCGGCACCAGCCGCCCTCCGCGTCCACGCCTGGCCTCCTGCCCCCGCCGGTCCCGAGTGGGATCCCGGCCGGCAAGGCCATGGGCTGAAGGGGGCGGCGAGACGGTGCCCGCTTGGCTGGGCACAGGTGGAGGGAGGGCCGGCCTGGTGGAGGGAGGGGCCCGGCCGCCGCCAGCCCCCCCGCCGGCCCGGGCAGGGCCCCCCGCGCCCGCCCGCTTGCTGCCCGCCCGCCCCCGGCCCCGCGCTGGGCCGCTCCTCGCCCAGGCCCTTCGTTCGTTCATCGGTTTGTCTGTTCTCTCTCCTTCCCTCCCTCTTCTCCCGTTTCTGTTTTTCTCTCTCTTGTCTTCTGTGTCCCCAGGCAGCCCATTGAGTAACTTCTTTGACGTAATTAAACAACTTTTTTCAGACGAGAAGAACGGGCAGGCGGCCCAGGCCCCCAGCACGCCCAAGCGGAGTGCCCAGGGCCCCCTCGGTGACGGCACGGCCGCGGGCCCTGGCCGGGCTGCCGAGTACCCAGCGGGCGAGGACACGGCCGAGACGGGGCTGCCCGCCGCCCCCCGCGAGCAGCCTTAGACACATAGCCCGGCGGCCCCAAGGCCCCCTCGCCGCCCGCGCCCTGGACCCCGGGCCGTGCCCGTCCGTCCGCCTAGACTGTGCGAAGCCCGGGGGACGGCGGGGGCCGCGGGTCGCCGCTCGCTGGGCCTGCCCGCGCCCGCTCTCTCGCTGCCTCTGCCCCTGCCTGTCTCTGACGGCGTCACTGTTTCCATCCGCACCAGGAATTATCCCGAAAAGTTAACATGTCACCTCCACGAGGCCGTCCTCCGTGCTCCGCGCCGGACACCGGCTGACCGAAGGCAGCTGCCGTGGACCCGCCCTCGCTGCTGCTGCTGCCTGCGGGAGGCCCGCCGCGTCCACCTGCCTGGCCGCGATGGGCCGGCCCTCCCGCCCGGCGACCAGACTCGCAGTGACCGGCGTCCCGGCGGGCCGCGGCGGCGAAGCGGGGCGAGGGCCTCTCCCCGGCGCCCTCCCCCGAAGCGCCGGGCGCCGCTGCCCGCCACCCCAACCCGCACCCCACCCGCGTCGCCGCGGCCGCGCACCCTGGGGCCTGGCGTTCCTTGCCGGCCGCGGACACAGGCCCGGAGGCGCAGCGCCGTCCGGCTGGCCGAGATCAGTGTTATTTATTCGCCGTCCGCCGAGCCCCTCTGCTTCTCCGTCCGGGCCGGGCCGGCGGCAGCGCCCGGCTGGCCTGGGCTCGGGCGGGGAGGGCCTGGGCGGAGGCGCCCTGAGGACGGGGCGTGAGGTGTGGGCGGCGGGGCAGCCGGTCGGCGCAAACTACTGTAAACTTTAAAGAATTCCTGCGAGATATTTTTATAAACTTTTTTCCTGGTGGTTTTTGGAAAGGTGTGGGCGGGGCGGCGCGCGGGGCTCGAGGCCTGTCCCGGCCCCGGCTCGGCCCTGCGGTCCCGAGGGCGAGGAGCGGCCCTGGGCCCAGGCGGGCGGCTGGTCCTGGCCGGGCTGCCCGGGGCGGCGGCAGGAGGAAGGCCCCGCCGGCCCCAGCGCACACAGGCCGGCAGGGTTTTTTTATTAAAATGACAAAAAAGTTTTTAAAAAAAAAGCAAAACAAGGACAGGAAGCGGCTGGCGGCCGACACGGCAGGCTCCAGCCCCTCCAGCTTCTGCGGCGCCCCCCGGGCCGGCCCGGACTGCATGCCTCTGCTCTCGCGCCCCCCGCCCCGCAGCCCCCGGCCCCCGCAGGCCCGCCGGAGGGCCCGAAAGCAATACCTCCCGGCCTCCCCCGCCGCGGGGGCCTGCGGGGCCGGGGAGTGGACTGCCCGCCCGTGTACCCTCCAGGTGACTGTGAGCCAGCGACTTCCCAACAATAAACTCCTTCAGCAAAGACGCGGCGCCCGTCTCTGCAAGTGTCCGTCCCCTGGGGGGGCCCGGGGCGCCTCTCGCCCCCACGGCGCCGCCTCTGCCCCGCTGAAGAGGACGGGCCCGGCGGGGTGCGGGAGGCCTCTCCCGGGGCCCCGGCCGTCTGCGCGGGGGCCTGTGCAGGGGCGAGAGGCTGGATGCTGGGGCCTGGCCGCCCGGCAGCCCCCAGTGGCTATGGGCGGCTCTTGCATAGAGGGGTGGCCCGGCTGTGCTCACCCTGCCCGCCGGCGGCCTCTGGGCACCACAGCCACGCAGTGACCGCCCCCGGGGCATCGCTGGAGGGGCCTGTGGAGCCCGCACGGGAAGCAGCCCGCTGGCCTGGCACTGCTCGCCCTGCCCTGCCCAGCCCCCCACAGCCTGCGCCTTTGGGGGAGGTGGTGGTGCCAGAGGGACCCCAAGAGGCTGAGGCTCCAGGTTAACCTCGGCTTGAAGTCGAGGCGGCGGGAAGGAACGCCCCGCTGCCCCGGGGTCCCGCCGGCTGGCCGGGAGGACATTTCTTGCCCCGTGCACCTGCGTTGCTGGACGAGCAGCTACACAGACCTGCCTGCGCGGCCTGCGGCGGCAGGACACAGCCCCGCCCGCCCCGCACTCCGGCCCCCTCCGGCGCCGGGCGGCTCCCGGCTGGGGACCGGGCAGGCGGGCGTGAGGCGGCCTCACCACTGCCGGGAAGCCCAAGCTCAGGGGCTGCTCAGGCAACGGACGACCCGGGGGGCCCAGCAGGGTCAAGCCTGGCCTGGGCCTGACCCTCGGCCTCAAGCACGTGGGTGCGTGCTGCACCAGCCTGGGGTCCCGGGGAGCACCGCAGCCACACGGAGCCTGCCGAGGCCTTGCGGGTGCAGCGGAGGGCCCCCCGCGGGGTCCAGAGCGGCACCGTCCCCACGCAGGGCGTCCTGAGGCCCGGGTCCGGCTGCCTGCCCAGCGAGGGTGCTGCCTGGCCCCCCGTCCTCAGCCCTGCAGACCCAGTCCAGTGGCCTGTCCCTCTCGTGCGAGTGTGCAGCGGGCAGAGCTGGCAGTGCAGCGGCAGAGCCCCGTGGGGGCGGCGGCAGGGGAGGGCAGGGCTCGGCAGGTCAGGGGACGCCCTGTGCGCCACACGCGGGTCAAGCGCCTCCCAGACTGAGTCACCGCGGCTGGCGCATCCTTGCGGCCCGGCAAGCGCCATGGCGTGGCAGCACCGACCTGCCGCGGCTCCGGTCTCGCCGAACCGCGCGTGGGTGGGGGCACGGCCCGTCCCGAGTCTCCAGGGCCGTCTCCCTCCTTCGGCCTCCGGCCCCCCAGGAGCCCATTTTTGGAGAGCCCCGCCCGGCAGGGCCGCGCCTGCACCGCCCACCCCCGCACCTGAGCAGTTGTGGGCGCGGTTGGCGTCCAGGGGCCCAGACCCCGGGCAGCTCACACCCTCGCCCCTCCCTGGCCCCCCATGGTCCACTGATGAGCGCCAGGGCCAACCCCAAATCTCCCCCCACCCCCAACCGAACAGGCCTTCCCAGAAGACCCTCTGGCTTTGGCTTTGATGAGGTGAGGGTGTCAGCCCCCAGGCCTGGCCCCCACCCGCTCCCCTTCTCAGGAGCTCGCCCCACGCGCCACAGGCTCCCAAAGGCACAGCTCGGCCCGCCCTCTGGCTTCCAGGGAAGCACCCTCTTGCACCCCCGCCTTGGCTGGGGAGAGCGCGCCATTCTGCCTGCAGGACAGAGCCCCCCCGGGTGGACCAGCACTTGGGGCAGGCTGGGATCCCCGAGTGCGCCGGGCCCAGCGGAGGCCCCGCCCCAGTGCAGGACAGTCCCGGGTGCATCAGGGCCGGGCTGGGACAGAGGGCAGTGGGCAGCCCGGTGCCAGTCCTTGTGGCACTCCCCTCTCCATATGGACTCCTGGGGACCAGGCCCGGATGGCACCCTCCCAGTCTGTGTGCCCTAGACGCCTCCTGGGATGCCCTGGGGCCCCGCGGAACGAGCCCCTGGCACACACCCGTGCTCCAGGGCTCAGGCCCTACGCAGCCACGCCTACGCACGTGAGCCTGGTTCTGGCTGCAGCCCCTGGGCGGGAGCCCGGCATCCAGGCCGCACACGGAGGACTCCTGGCACCGTGCTAGGCTCTCACGCCAGGGCAGCGGGATGAGGCGAGAGGCTCAGGCTGGACACGCCCGGCGACGGGGGCTGCAGCTTCCTAGGCTCGAAACCTGGCAGGGACCAGGGCGCGTGCCCCGGGAGCCCCAGCCTTCCTGCAGTGGGGGGTGCCGGACCCCGAGGTGATGGCGGAGTCTGTGCCGGTCAGCGGGCGGGCTGGCCCAGCTCCTAGGGCGTTGCCGCTGCCCCGTGCACCTGCAGGGGGCTGCTGAGAGGTCGGACCCCAGCTTGTCCCCAGCTGCCAGGGGACAGCGCCTGGGTGGGAGGAAGGGTGGTCACCAGCAGGGGCGAGGCCGCAGCATGAAGGTGGCCCCAGGAATGCCCACCTGGGGGGCCCTGCGAGGCCCCTTCTCCTACCGCCCTGGGCCCTCACGGGTCACGCGGCAGACCACACGCAGGCTGACCTGAGAGACGCTCTTTATTGGGGCTGGACAGGGAGCCGAGCACGCACACCCCACCCAGGCCCACCTGAGCCCGCCGCGCCCGCGGGCCCTCCCGGGACGGAGCCATGCGCACCCCCCACCCCCGGCCTCCCCCCGCGCCCGCCCGTCCTGAGCTGCCAACCGCCAGAGCCGGCTGGGCCGAGGCCCGGGAGAGATGGAGGGCCCCGGTCATCCCCACCCGAGACAGAACGAGAAAGCGGGAACAAGCCTGCGGCCCGAGCCCCCCGAGGAAGCCGCCTCTCAGCGGCCTCCCCCCCAGGGCCGGGCGGGCTGTGCAGGGGGGGGGGGGGCAGAAACCCCAGAAGGGGACTCCGCGCTCAGGCGCAGAAACGCTTGTGGAGCGAAGGAACCAGCCCGAGGGTCTTCCTGATGAGCGCACCCGGCACACAGGCCCGCGGGGGCCGCCCCGGTCCGCCGGCTGTGAGCCCGCGAGACCTCCCTCCCAGGTGCCCGGCACGCGCGCCCACAGGCGCCCACCAGCACCGCCGCACCGTCTCTGCACGCGCACGCCGGCCGGGCTCACCTCTCCTTCACGTGGTTCTGTGCCCCCGCGCCCCCGCCCCCCGTCCCGTCCCCGGCACGGCCCCCGCCCCGGCACAGCGCCTCCGTGAGGTCGTCCATGACGGCGGTCTCTTTGGGGTCGAGCAGGCTGAACTCCCTGGCGAAGAGGATGAAGTGCACGTAGAGGGTGTTGAGGTGCGGGTGCAGCTCCAGCGCCAGCGTCTCCTTGAAGTGCGCGGAGTAGATGTGCGCCAGCACGTGGAACAGGTACCTGCAGATGCGCTTCACCAGGGCCTCGAAGGAGTTGGGGAACTCGCGGCCTGTGGGACGGAGGGTCAGCGGGCCTGCCCCGCCCCGCCCCGCGCGCCCCCACCCCGCCGGGGTCTCCACGGGAGCCACCGGCTGCTGCCCCGCCACGCGCTGTCCCAAGCAGACTGGGCCTTGGGGCTGTGAGTTCCAGAGAGGCCACAGAGCGGCTGGCCAGGTGCCATCCTGGGGCACCTGACGCCCCAGGGCCCACTGTGCCGCCTCAGAGCCAGCCGGCTGCACGCCCCGGGAGAGGTGCCTCCGTGCTGGCCGCCGGCCGAGCCGCGCACGTACCGTATTTTGTGGGGAACACGTCCTCGTCGGTCACCAGCTTCTGCACGGAGCTCATGACGAAGTCGACGTACTGGGGGGCAGTGCACTTGACCTTCTTCCCCCGCTCGTCATACCAGTAGTACTGTCTGTGGGATCAGCGCGGCCGTCAGCACCATGGGGGCCCACACCAGCCCCGGCTCACGTGTGCAGCCCCTCCGGGAGCCCCCAGAGACCCGCAGCTGCTGCCGGGGAGGTCTGCGGCTGGTCAGGACGGCGCCCACACAGACCCTGCCCTGGAGCGCCTGTGCCGCCACAGGGACATTGGGCACCCGCTGCAGGGCAGGTGGTCTGCTCTCAAGGCCACCGACAGCTTCTTGACTGAAGCCCCCACCCCAACAGGCCGGGGGAGCACAGTGGCCTCTGGATAAACCTGGCCCCGGTGCCCAACCCAAGCACCCCCCGGGCAGCCAGCCTGGGGATGGTGGCCAGGGCCTCCCTGACCTCACTGCGGGTGTCTGCTGGCCCCACAGGGGACCAGGTAGCCTGGCCACCCCGTGGGCCCCAGGGCTGGACCTGCATCTGTGACTGCGCCCCCGCCTCTGCCCTGGCCGACACTGGCTCCAGGCGACGCGCAGATGCCCCTCTGCTGGCCCCAACCCTCACGCGGCTAAGGGCACAGGCCGCAGACCCGACCCAGGAACAGGCCCTGCTGGCTCCCCGAGCTCCCCAGTGCCAGGGCTCAGGGCCCCGCCGGCTCCAGACAGCCCGCCAGGCCTGTGGTCGGGACACGGAGACCCCTTTCCTCACGGACGGCCTGACCCAGCCACGAGAAAGGCCAAGCGGCTTCGGGGCGAGGGCCTGCTAGGCTCCAGCACCAGCCCCGCCTAGCGGGCACCAGGGCCCGTCTCTGCCCCAAGCCGCCCTCAGCTCACCTGGCGCCCGGCGGCTGGGGTCTGGGCGTGCTGCGAGGGCAGGGCAGTGCAGCGTGGTCACGCTGTCACGCCGAGGCGCTCGCTGCTGAGCCGGGGCCTGTCCCTGACCGCCGTGAGCGCACCCGCGCGTCTCTCTCACACGTGGCCTTCGCCCCTCACCCCGTGCCCGCCCGCCAGGACACGGCCCTGCATCCCCGCGTAGGACTTGTGTCTGTGGAGCCACCCGCTGCCCGTGCGCCCTGCGGCGGGCCCCGCGCCTGCGCGCCCCTACCTTTGTCGGCCTCGCCACGGCCACAGACCAAGGAGCCGGCTGTGGCCGCCACGGACCCTCCTCCTGTTAGGGGGAAGGGATGTCCCGAGCTAATCCCACGCAGGCTTTGTGGACCCCACCCCCACTCCAGACCAAAGCCATCAGGACACTGGGAGAGACACATCCCGTCACCACCAAAGGGAGGTGCCTGGGACCTGAGGGTGGAGTGAAGCAGCCAGGCTGGGTATAAAAACCAAACACGTGGGCCTTGGGGGGCTCGGGATCGCTCGCCTCCTGGCTTCACGGCTCCTGGCTCGCGGCAGCTCTCAGGTGCCATTTGGGATTCCTGATCGGCGGATCGGGCAGGACGCACTTAAAACGTTGTCTCCCGCTTTTCTCCCCGAGCTGTGCATTCCTCATTTCCCCTGCCCTGGTGAATAAACCTTTATGAACCTTCGCGTGCGCCTGCAGTGGAGCGTGGGTAAGTCCTTCTAAGCGCGGGTGAGGACCCAGTCAGGCACCCGTTTTGCATCGGGGCTGCTCTACAACAGTTTGGCGCCCACGGCTGCCCTACAGCACTACCGTTTCCAGAAGTCAGGGCAGCGATGGCTGCTCCTGCCTCTCCTGCGCAATTTGGATTTTGCTCGTTTTCTGTTTAAAGATGGAAGCTGAAGTTATTTCGAGATCTTTCTTCTTCCAAAATAAGCGCCCGCTCTCCCCAAGGCCCCGCCGCGGTCAGCTGCCTCCCGCGAGGCAGGGGCCCCTCACTTTCACCGAGTTCACCCCGGAGCACCTTCTAGCGGCTTTGAGGTGTCCCCTCGGGCGGGAGGGGCGCAGGAGCTGTCACTGACTCCGCTCCCCTGGCGAGGGGCTGCGTGCGGTGCCAGAGGGCGGGCGGGCTCCGCACTCTGCTGCCTCCCCGCCCAGCGCCCGCCGCTGGAGAGGGCGCTGGGACAGGGGGCTGGGCTGGGTGCTCCAGGTGCCGTCTGCCCAGGCGTCTGCCTCGCCGTGCAGTCCGCTGTGGGTGCGCCCCTCCTGCCAGCCGGTGAGCGGGGCGCCACCGGGTGCCTCTGTGGCTCCGTGCAGCTGCCCAGGCACCGTCTCCACACGAGCCACCTGGGGACCCCTGTCCTGCTGTGTCCACGCTGGCTCTCCGCGCCGCTCTGCCTGGGCCTGTCTGTGTGCCCGTGTGTCCACCTCCCTTCACGCCCACGGGTCCTCTCTCCGGCCTCCTTTTCGGTGCCCCGAGCCCACCCACCCCAGTGCTGCACCCTCGGACCCCACGGCCACCCGATACGCCACTGGGTGTGCGACAGCCACGTCCTCCCAGCGTGCCCGTGCTCGCGTGCGGCACCTCACCCAGCTCTGCCCATGGAGGCCGCTCCACCCCACGCCCATGTCCTGCCCAGTTCACCGGAGCTGGTGCCCACACCGCCCGCCAGCTGAGCCTCCTGTGGCGTGCTGGGCGCATGCGCTCCGCAGGCAGCGAGTGGTGAGCGGCTGCCGCCGGCACTGCCCCGGGGGCCAGCCTCAAGCAGGGTCCGTGCCTGGGCGTCGCTGCAGCCGCTCTGCCGTTGCCCGTGTGGAGGCCGGGCCCTCTCAGGAGAGCAGACGGCCCGCCCAAGCAGAGCCCGCCTGGGCCCGGCAGACCCTTGACGGCAGCGTCCTGCTACGGCGCTGTGGCCTCGGCGCCCGCGGGCAGCTCACCAGGGCCGGGAGACAGGGCGCCTCGTGGCTCTGGGACGCGCCCCTGCCCGACCGCACGTCAGCACAGCCGCCTGCCGGCTCAGGAGACCGCTCGGCACCCCTCTGGAACACGCCCGCCGGCCCCCGGCAGGCTCCTGGCTCCAGGCCCGGGGACGGCGACTGCGGGAGCAGGGGTGACTCACGTGTTGCCCACGGCCATGGTCTGGCAGGCCTCCCCCGTGCAGAACTCGGAGACCGTGCTGTACTGCAGGTTGACGTGGTGGAAGAACGTGGTGGCTGCCAGCGGAGAGGAGGCCTGGAGTGAGCCTGCGCGCCCGCAGAGGCGGCCCCGTGTCCGGCCCGGCAGCTGGTGTGGGTGCCGTGGGGAGCAGGGCCGTGGCTCTGCCCACTCGGGGGCGCGGCCTGGACGCCTGCCCTCACGTCCCAGGAGGGGACCGGCACCCCCCCCCCCACCCCGCCACCGCGGGGCCGGGCTCCCTGAGCTCCCAGCCCCCACGGAAGGCCCCTCCCGCGCCCGCCACCGCTCTCCAGGGGAGCGCCCGCGCCCTGCCGAGTCCCCGGGCCAGCGCCTCACGGCCGTCCGCCCCCCACTGCCAGCTGTGGGGCCGCCCCGCCGGCCACCCCGCCCGCCCCGCGCCCGCCGCCCCACGCACTGTTGCTGGCCAGCCACTCGTTGAGGTCGATCTCGCGCGGCAGCACCACCAGCTCCCGGAAGGCGAAGTCGGAGATGCGGGACTGGGTGTACTCGGGCTCCAGGTACAGCTTCTTCTCCTCCGCCGCGGGCTTCTTCCCGTTGGGCTTCGCCTTAGACTTCCTGCCGGAGGGGCCGGTTCAGCTCGGGCCGGGCGAGGGGACGGCGGCCTGCGCCCACCCGCCCTCCTCCCGCGGCCGGCTGCCGCCACGGGCCCGAAGCTGGGGGCGGGGGCGGGCCGTCCAGCCCCGCCGGGGCGCAGTGGCCTCGGCGGGCAGCTCCGTGGGGATGAAGGCCCCGCCGCCGTCCGGGTCTGCTCAGCACCCTCGCCCCGTCCTGGGGCCTGGAGCCAGGCCCGCCCCACCAGGTACCCCGAGCGGACGGCCCGCCCGCCGCCCAGCTGAGCGCCCACAGCCCGGCGGCCATTTAGCTCAGCGCGCTGGCCGCCCCCGACGCCCGTCCCGAGCAGGCGTGAGCCGGGGCGACGGCCGCCCCCCACTGAGACCGGCTGGCGCAGGAGAACAGCCCTGTCCGCAGACGCCCCCCACGCCGCGGCTGCGCGCACAGGAAACGTCTTTGCTTTGTCCGAACAGCGCGGACTCAGCCACGAAACGCCCAGCCTGAGCTCTGGCGCTGAGGGCCCCCCGGGGCGGGCCCCCCTGGGGCTGGGGTACACGCGTCCCAGAACCAGCCCACAGGGACGAGGGAGGGTCCCAGAGGGCTCTGCCCCGCCTGCGGCCCAGCTGGAGGTGTCCCTCCCGGAGCGGTGCCGGAGCGGGGTGGAGGCTGCCTCTGCGGTGCAGCCTGGGTTCCGGAGGGCCGGGCGGGGGCTGGAAGGAGGACCCAGCAGCAGCGGCCTGAGCCCGGCTCTCACGCCAACGGTTCTCCACGCAGCGCAAAGAAGCCCACAGACGTCTGCGGCCCGGCGCGGGCCAGGAAGCCTCGGGTGGTAACGAGACGGCCGTGCACAAGGGCCCAGGGCCGCCGCCTGAGCCCCTGCTGAGGACAGGCCTGCCTCGGGGGCCACAAGGGTCAGGGCAGGCCGGGCACCTCGTATAAGCCTCTTTTGGAGCCTCCAGGCCTGGGGGCACAGGTGGGGGGGAGGGCGTGTGTGCATGGCGGCCGCGGGTGCCTGTGGGGGCTGGAGGAGCCGCCAGTGGGGCCTGGCGCTGCCCAGGTGGCCTCAGGACGCGCGCGGGGCCTGCTATGGGGCAGGGAGGGGTCCCCCGGCCTTACTTACCCCCCTGTACGGCCCCTCCTCCAGCCCGTGGGCCAGGCGGGGGTGGAGCAGGCCTCAGCAACCTGACTGCCCCAACCCTGCCCTGTCGTCCTTCTGTTCTGAAAAGCTGCCAGTGGTTATTTAAGAGAGAGAGGAAAGAAAAATGCTCCCCAATGCCAGGAAAAGTTTCCCCAGGGTGCCCCCGCAGATCTTCGCCTTAAAAGGCGAGGCGCACACGGCCTCGGGCTGCACCCAACAGGCTGTGCCCAGCGGGTGGGGGAAGACCTGACCGGGCCAGGAAGACACCAGCTCCTCCCCCCCAGCCTGCCCTCCAGACACCAGGTCTCGGCTAGTGAGGCACACGCCACCCCATCAGACGGGGAGGGCTTGCCCGAGGTCTGAGCCCCGTGCCCGCCTCCACTCCGGCTGCCCCGCAGCATCTGAGTGCCGGGCACCACCCACATGGCCACACGCAGAGCCACCGGGCCAAGCCTGGCCTCAGAGGCCTGGGCCCTCCCTCCCTGCCCCGCCCACTTCCCCACAGATCCAGGTCCCAGCGCGAGCCCGGCAGAGCCAGGCGCTGCAGGAAGGCCCCGGCCTGCCGCTCCCCAGCGGCCTCCAAGGGCCTGGGCCAGGACCCCACTCACACCCCGTCACCACCCGCTGGGCGTGGGGCACGCACACAGCTCCCTGGGTGCCGGCGCCTGGTCACTGTCACAAGCAGGGTCCCGCCGGCGGCCACGTAGCTGGGGTCTCTTCCCTGGCTCTTCCCTGGCTCTTCTCTTCTCTGGAGACCCCACCGCGGCCGGGCTCACGCCCCGGGGCCACGAGCCAGTTGTGGGTTCTGCTCCTGGACAGTGAGGCTGAGAGGAGGCGGCCGGCCCGGGGGGGGGGTGGCTCTGCGTGGTGCCCACACCCTCCTCTCACCCCTCGCCCTGCAGCCCAGACAGGGAGGGCCCTCGGCGGGGGGCAGGTGTGCTGGGCAGGGCCCGGGGAGGTCACAGCGAGGCCCCGCCCCCGTGCACAGCAGGTGACCACAGGTGGCAGGACTCAGGTGCCCCCACCCCGACCCACATGCTGGCCTAGAGGGAGAGACAGGCCTGGACGAGCAGGACGCTCGCTGGCCTGGCCCCGGCAGACGAGCACGACATCGTTCACCCAAAGAGCGCACCGTCCTCCGCGCAAGACCCCAGAGGTCTCCCGCCAGCACCCAGCCCCAGGCCCCGCAGCTCCGAGAGCGCCCGGAGCAAGGCAGGCCAGCACCCTATCCTGAGCGCGCCCCGAGAGGCCGCGGGGGCAGGAATGGGGGAGGTGACGCCGGAGCCGGCTCTGCAGGCACACCCCTGCAGGGGGTGGCTTCCGGGGTCTCGAGCAGGCGGGGGGGGGGGGGGCACCTGGCCAGCAGACTCGGGGGCCGTGCACAGGACTCCCGTGGTCCCGAGATACCCACCAGGCCCCGTGTCCCTTCCTGGCCCGGGGCGCCCTCCCCTGCAGCAGCAGCCAGCGCCGGGTTCAGGGGAGACCACACTCCAACCAGGTCCCTGGCTGGGCCCCGAGGCTCCATGGCAGCAGAGGCCCCGCACGGCGACCCCGGGCTGGCTGCAGACCGTGCCAGCCCTCCACCCGCCGGCTTCTGTGGCAGAGGCTGCGCGCGTCCGCCAGGCAGCCCCTCACCCGAGGACTCTGCCGACTGCCTGAAGCGCCATTTTGCAGCTGAGTCCAGCTTTGGGGGGCCGGCCGAGCCGCACTCGGTCAGCGGGGAAGCTGCCGTGGGCTCCAAGCATGACGGGGCTGTGCAGCCCGGGAGGGCCGTGGGCACTGGCGGGCGCCCCTCCTCCCTCCCTGGGCAGCCGCAGGGGAGCAGCAGGGAGGCCGGCGGGGGGGGAGTGTCTCAATGGCCTTTCCAGAGTGGCGCCGCCAGGGCGGGGCAGGGCGGGGTGCTGCCTGGGGAGGCGGCCTGGGTGGGGACAGACATGGCTCCAGCCCTGGGAAGGGGCCGTCACCCGGGCCAACGCCCTCCCCTCGACTGACCCCTGCCCGGACAGGGCAGCGGCCGACAGGGTCCCGGCTGCACCCCGACACTGTGGCGTGGGCTCGGGGAGCCCGGCTGCTGAGGCGCTGGGGTGGGTGCCGGGCAGGCGGCAGGCTCCACAGAAAGGCGGGGGGCAGGGAGAGGGTGAGGGCCCCTTCTCGACCCAGCGCGCACATGGGCAGCACGGGGTGCCGCGGGAGGACGCCCCTGGCCAGGTGGCCTGGGTTCTGAGCGCAGGGGCGGCGCGGGTCATCGGGGTCCCACCAGCGTGGCCCCGCCCCGCCCCCACAAGGTTCCTGCAGCCCCCTGACCTTTCACTTCCTCGAGTTTAACCCAATTCTGTGCAGCGGCCACGCCAAAGGCACAGGCCACAGGGCAAGGCCTCTGGCTGCACTGCTGGGACGCCCCGCCGGGCTGGCTGCCCACGGGACCGGGGCAGAGCGGTCTGCCCGCCAGCTCGGGCTCGGATGCGCACAACTCGGCAGGGGGCGGGCCCCGGTGGTTGCTGGGCCCACATGGAGCCGGCAGGTGCCCAGGGACCTCGTGCCACACCCCTGCCTGGGCCCAGCAGCCAGCCTGGCCCTCCCGGCAGACAGGAGTGACTCCGCCACCCTGCAGGGACACGGGGGCAGCAGCGGCCCCCACCCCCAGGGAACGAGGGGAAGTCGGGGGGAGCGAGAAGCACGTGGCTGCTGACCCTCCGCCGCAGCACGTGGCACGGGGGGGAGCCCGACCCCGGGTCAAGGCCGGAAACCTCAGAACTTAAGTTTCCTACGACCTGGAAGCGCTCAGAAGACTCGAAAGCGGACCAGAAGCGAGGATCCCCGAAGCGAAGCCAGAGGGAGGGGAGTGCGACCATGAGGGCCAGGCGTGGGCTGGGGGCGCCCCGCTGGCCACACTGGGCTCCGGGTGCCCGACTGCGGCACCACGGGGTCCCCGAAAGCCTGAGCTTGAGTGGGCCCCAGGGCACGAGCAGGCGGACCGCGGTGCAGGGCAGGGGCTGGGCGCCCACCGAGGCCCTCGAGCCGCGCCAGCCACAGCCAGCGCCCCGCCCCCTCGGCCGGCCACCACCGGGGCAGCGGCGACTTGCCGGGAGGCCGTCTGGGGACGGGGACACCCGTCCCTTCACTCCCTGGCCTCGGCTGAGCTGGGCAGGCGCTGAGCCCAGATGGCCCAGAAAGGGCAGCGCGCCGCCCGCCCAGCTGCGGAAAGCTCGGCTCGGGACCGAGCTGCGGCCAGTCTGCAGGAGGGACAGGAGCCCACGGGAGGAGCGGCGCCCTGCGGCAGCCGGCGGGGCGGGGCCCACTGCGAGGCAAGCCCGTGGGACCCCAGGCTCCCCGGGCCGCTCCCCGGACGCTGCAGTCCCCCTCGGAAGGGGGCGGGAGCTGCCTGGGGGGAGCTCCCTGCGGGGTGGAGCGGGAAGCCCCGCGCCCCCAGAAGGCCTCAGTGTGTGCTGAGCGCGCCCGGGGCTCCTGCCAGCCCGGTGAGACGGGCGCCGGGAAGCAGACGAGGGAATGGGGATCAAAATCACCTCAGAGCGTGACCTCAGGGACACGCCACGGGGCGGCGGGTGCCTGGCCTCACCCCATTCCCGCCTGGACTCGGGCCGCCGAGTTTTCTAACAGCCCCCCGGCCCAAGCCCCCTCCGCCTGGAGCCTCGGGGCCCTCCCTGTCCGGCTGTGTCCTCGGCGCCTCTGGCGAGGGCTCTCAAGGGTCTCCAAGGCCCCAAGTGACTCACTCCCCCGGCCCACGTGCCAGTCTGGCCTCAGAACCCGCACCTGCCTGTGTCCTCCGCCCCAGAGGGGCACGGGGCCCGCCTGCCTCTTGCTGCCATGTCCCCGCCCAAGTGTCTGAAGACCCCACACCAGCCCC